AGGGACACCAGCCAGGGGACCAGGGACCAGAGACCAGGGGCCCTCTAGCTTTTTGTCTCCTGCTGGCAACCTACCCAGGAGAAGGTGTCAAATCCAGGCACAGAGGTCCCTCCTTTACCCACTCCTCCTGGCTCTACAAGTAGAGCTGTAGGGACCTGCTCAGCGTTGATGTCTGATGAGTCCTCTGCGCCTACACTCCACAGTCAACGTTCTCCAGCTACACTCCATGGCGCCTTCTCTCTTGGGTGCCCTAATAAGCCAGGCTGCCACCTGCAGCAGGGCCTGCCTTCCTTTACCCCTAGACCAGCTGGGCTGGCCCCCAGGACCCCTTCCATCTCTGTCCCAGCCAGAGTTGCCAGCACTTGTGAAGTCTGACTCCCAAGGCAAGGCCAGGTCTGCTCAGTCTTGGATCCCCCTGCATGTGCCACACACTCAGTAAGGGGCTGGTAGGTGATGCACCTTCTCCTGACCAGCCTCAGGGGTTCCTGCTCCATTTCACAGACAGGAGACCAAGACTCAAGAGAGCCTGCTTGGTGGTCTGCTCAAGGTCAAATCCAGGCACAGCTTTGCAGGTCAAGGATATTATACTTACATAACCATTTAAAATGTAACCATGTATACAACTCAACAACAAACAACCTGATTAAAAAGCAGGCAAAGGACTTGAACAGACATTTCTCCAAGGAACATGTATAGATAGCAAACAAGCACATGAAAAGATGCTCAACAACACTGATCAGGGAAATGTAAATCAAAATCACAAGGAGATACCACCTTATGTTCATCCAGAAGGTTATTTAAAAAAATAATAAATAACAATTATTGTCGAGGATATAGAGAAATTAGAATCCTTGTACACTACTGGTGGGAATGTAAAATGGTGCAGCCACTGTGGAAAATAGTATGGAGTTTCCTCCAAAAATTAAACATAGAATTACCATATGATCCAGTAACCCCACTTCTAGGTGTATATCCCAAAGAATAAAAGCAAGGACTCAAAAGAGATATTCGTCCAGCATATTCATAGCAGCATTATCCACATTAGCACTATCCACACAAAAAGTGGTAAGAACTCAAAGTGTTGGACAGATGAATAGGTAAACAAATGTGGTATATACATACAGTGGGATGTTATTCAGTCTTAAAAAAAGAAGTAAATTCTTTTAAAATAATTTTTTCAAAGTGCTTTTTTTTTTACCAGTTTATTGATATAAAACATTGTATAAGGTATCAATGTGATGATTTTATATGTATATACAGTGAAATAATGAGCACGGTCACCTCACATAGTTACCATTTTTGTATATGTGGTGAAAATTTTTAAGATCTACTCTCTTAGCAACTTTCAAATTTATAAGACAGTATTGTTAACTAGAGTTACCATGCTGCTCATTAGATCCTAGGACATACTCCTCTTCCAACTGGAAGTTTGTACCGTTTGACCACCTTCCCCATCACCCCTCACTGTGCCCCCAGCCCCTGGTAACCACCAATCTGTTTCTATGAATAGTCTTTTTCAGATTCCACGTATAAGTAGAATCATAATAGTGTTTGTTCTTCTGTGGCTGCTTATTTCACTTAGCATAATGTCCTCAAGGTTCATCTTTATTGCAAATGGCAGGATTTAAAAAGAATGGAAATCCTGAAATGTCACAACATGGATGAACCTGGAAGATATTATGCTAAGTAAAATAAGCCAAACACAAAAAAACATACTATATGATACCACACATACACTTAAATACGGTTAAAATAATAACATTTTATGTTATATACATTCTACCAGAATAAAAAATTTAAAAGATAACCCAGTGCAATGTGTGGGCCAGAGAGAAGGAAGGAGGGTACATGTGCCCTTGAGCATTATTCCTTTCAAGTGGATGGTGTTTAACACCTGACCTATTATCAGTAAGGAGAAAAGGACATCTGCAGCAGGCGAGGGCCCACCACACTCCCCTGTCTGTCTCACTCAAGTCTGTTCTCATCCAGTGCCTGAAGGTCCTCAGCTCCTTGAGGCTGAGTGCCTGCTGCCAGAAGACCGCGGAGTAAGGGCCACACCTAGTGCCCACCTGTGCCAGCCCTGTCAAGAGGGCCTTCTCCTGAGGACACTGAGGCTGGGAGGCTGCAGTGGGTAGGACAAGTACAAGCCTGTCTGGGGCAGGGCCCTCCCTTCCCAGCACCCCTGGCAGCCCCTTCTCCATGAGAGAGCAAGGTGGGAGAATCAGATCTACAGTAACCGTGGCACTGTGAAAATAGATGGGGCAAGGCCTGAGGAGAGAAGGGCAGGGTAAGGAACAAGCGACTTATTTATAGGTCTAGAGCACCTTTTAAACGGTTTTTAAAAACCATGTTGGAGCCTCCCAGCCATCCTGTGACCTTTCTCCAAGGTCAGGGGTTAGCAGGGCTCCCAGTGCTGGCTCAGTCCACTCTGCATTTAGCCTAAGTACTCACTGATCACGGCTGAGCCAGGTGCAGTATTCATCCCTGGGGATAACATGGCTTATAAGACAAACACGGTCCTGACCCTCCTGGAGCTGACAGTCTGCTAATACAAAGAACTGAGCGTGGGTGCTAAGGACTTTGCAGAGGCTGGTCATCACACTGGGGCTTCTGCACACAGGATGTAGTCAGAAGGGCTCCCTGGGGGACACTGTGCACAACGAGAGCTAACTCAAGAGAAGAAGCCAGATCTGAGAAAGGCAGGAGGGGGAGCTGGGGCAGAGGCCCTGCCATAAGAATTTGGGGAGGTGATCAAAGTTGAATCGGCCAAGCCAGTTGAGGAATCTGAGTGTTATTTTTATTGCAGTGGGAAGCCAGGGATTGGGGTGTCAGGCAGGGATGACTCGGTTTGATTCTCACTCTAACAAGATCCCCGTGAGGCTGTGTGGAGTAAGGACATTTCCGCATGGCCAGAAATGAAAGGGAGAAAGGGTGGGTCCCGGGGTGTGAACCCCAGGTTGTGCTGCTGGACTGAGTAGGAAGATCAGGACACAATCAAGGATGTCTCCTAGGTTTCTAGCTGTTCAAGTAGGAAGAGGGAGGCTGCATTACTGAGCTAGGGATGGGCAGGGAAACCAGAACTCGGCACTGAGACAGAGAGAAGTTCCCTGGGAAGGCCAGCATGGTTGCGTCAGCCTGGTGTGCTTCCTGGCTCAACTACTCATCAGCTTTGGCCCCAATCTGATGAGTGGGCTCAAATACTCACCCCTGAAGTGCTGTCGTGACTATGGGGTGCCACAGGTATGAGGCATCGTGGCTACCAACGCCTGTGCTTGGTGATGGTGGTGACTCAGGGCACAGACCTGACCTAGTCTGCTGACTTTAGGCTGAGAGCCATGAGGCACAAGCCCTCTCTTGGCTGTGGGTAGGCAATGACGGTAGTACCAACACACTCTGGGGCAAGAATGAAAGCTCTCTCCAGCCGTCTGCCCTTTCCTAGCCTCACCACTCCTATGGAGACTGCCCCTCCCTCCTGGCCCTGGGAGTGTGTGCCTGGGGTTCAGAGGGGCGGCCCTGGGGCAGGCCTTGCAGAGAAACAGGCTCTCCACCATCTTGCCAGAGGAGACCTGAGCTCCCAGCCTTAGGCTCAGACAGGCTACTGACTCCTACCCTGCCGATGGCAGACCAGGGCAACCCTCCATTGTAAGGGGGCCACTCCATATGGCAGGGGTGGGCAAAGAGGACCATCCCCTCTCCCTCTAGACTTCCTATTCCTATGAGCCATAAAACCTCAAACATATCATTGGTCCTTTTCAAGCCTCACCTTTTCATCTGTACCATCGGACTCTGCCTGGAGACTACTAATGTGAAAACACTCCCTGGGGCACGAGAGCCAAGTCCCTTGCCCCTTTGTTTGGTGAATAAGACTTTTCTTGTCCAGCATATTCATAGCAGCATATTCATAGCAGGTGCCACAGGCCCCACCAAGATCCTTGAGATACCCATCTTGGCCTGGAGCAAAGAAGTAAAGAGATGACAGGCAGAAAAGGCCAAAACACACAGGCCAGGAGTTAAAAATTCAGAGCGGAAGGCTGGCCCTAGCAGAGCCCATCCTCACACACTGCCTTGACAGTGGGAAGATAGTGAGCATGTACTATACAGGCGGCCCAGACATGAAGAGGGAAGACTGAGGCATGCATCTTTCAGAGTGCGAGTGTGAATGTGTGAGCAGTATGAGGGGCCCAGCCAACATTCATGAATGTGCCCTTGGCATTTACAGAGGCCCACTTACCACGAGCAGGATGCTTCACCTCATCTCCATGCCTGCAGGGGCAAGATGGGGCCTTAGGCAACAAGCAGCTAAGACTCGGCCCCCAGTGATGGCTCCCATATAAGAAGACTGGAATCCTCATGTACCATTTCTCACTTTTTAAAGCACTGCCCAGGCAACGTTCAGTCTGTGAGGTAGTGTGTCACTGCGATGGTTCTCATGGAACCTCAGGAAGTAAGAACTGGGCTCAGGGACAGCCCATGCTGGGTGTGGCCACTTGATCCCACTCTTCCTCTTCACAGCCTCACCCCACTCCAGGGCACCCAGCCCTGTGTCTGGGCAGCAGCATTTGTTCTCATGTGCCACAGGTAGTACTTCATCATCTAGTACAAGTTCATCCACCCTGGTCTCTTTCTTTGATGGCAGGAGGCCCCGCTTCCTGAGAGGCACCTGCTTCCTGCCTGGAACTTCCTGGCAGGAACTCATATAGAGGTTTTGTCTATATACTGGAGGCCTGGGATACGAGCTTGGCAGCCATCCAGGTCTTGTCCTCTGTACCTGGATCCCAGGCAGGTGGCACTGTCCCTTCCCAAGGTCAAAAGGACTCCTTTGCTGACAGGAGTCTAATAGCCCAGAAAAGGAAGGGGTGTCTTGCTGTGGCATGAGGCCTTGGAGAGTAGAATTCTCTGTACATTCGAACACAACACTCCCACGTCTTGATGGACCCCAATACCCCTAGTAATAGCCTCCCCTGAACCTCAGGTGTTCTGCCCAGCCTGGGTGAGCTTACCAGTGTGAGCGCAGAACATTCAGGAGCAGGATGGCCCCTCCCAGCACGTAGCAGGCCAGGTATGGGGAGCCGAAGGCCCGGCTCAGCTTGCGAGTTTTCTGTTCC